AGTGCGCAGACTGTTATGTTACTGTGGGATGATTTTGTAACTAACGAAGGTCACCAGATGACACGTAACATATAGAATCACCTGTTGTTGTTTGTCGCAGGTTGAAAGTTAGCTTTTACAATTCAGAAATCACCCTGTTTGTCGCAGATAATTTGTCACAGACTGTTCATCTGCATCACCGCTTGAGGATGCCAATTCAGCTAAAAGAGCCAAATTATCTTAGAGTAGTTTTTTACTTCCCCGTTAATCCTACTGGCCTTTTTTTGTTCACCATTCCAGATGAATGATGCTGCTTGTTTTGTCTTAGACTGGAGATGGTCCGTTACATGTTGAACCTCTCTTGGCACTCTGCTTTTGTTAGAACTGTATTTAACTGCCTCTGATTAGATGTTAACTTGTTATATTTTAAGCATTGATGCTTAGCTGATACTTTCATGCTGCTTCTATGCATTATCACGCCTTTTGCTATGCCCCATTATATTGCTTTCAAAAGACATCATATGTTTCTCAACTCCTAGACAGCATTAACTTTCTCGTTCAATAATTATTGCGATTTCACTTACCTTGGAATATATCATCTTTATTTAATTAAATACTCATATATACAAATGAAACATCCTCACATTAAATGTGACAAAACATTCTTTATTTAATGTGCAGTATATATTACATAAAAATTTCAATTTTTTCCCATTTAGCTTTAACAGACAAGTCTTTTTTTCAGCCTTCACACTCAAATTTTTTTTTTACAATAACATAGGCCAGTTAAAAAAATACAATCCGCAGACCTTTATCGACAACTAAATTGATTATAACGTACAGTGACTATTCCTTTTCTCTCTTTTGTCGCTTTGCTTATGAAAATTCATAGGTAATTTAATAGAGCTATTATCACTGTCCTCCTACACATACTTCAATTCAATTGTCTTTCAAGAAAGCTGTGTTCCACACAATATTCAAAGTTTCTCTTTCATAACTTTCTTACACTGCATGTTGACCACATGCATTTCTTTAGCTCTCTAATGTATATCACCAACAAGTTCATTCATTTTCGATCACATTCCAATCAACACAACCCATATAAGTGGTAAGTTTCCTCTTTGATATATTCATCAACTCATAAAATCATCTTAAGCGGTTCTTCCTTTTTTCTACATTCTGTCAATAGAACTCTTTGCTATTTATAAAACTAATGCTGCAATATTTTTGTTTTGACTGGATCAAAATCGATGGCAATAAACATTGACAGCGGCAATTCCTCCAATGATTTGTCTAATGTTTGCAATGTTACTGTTGTTTTTTGTTCAAATGCAACCAGGATAAAAAGGTAATAAATTTTTATTCATATATAAATATATGAAGCAGCAAAAAACTTCTATTCCTTAACTTCATCGTCTGCGCTTTCAACTTCCAGATTCTGGCATCGAGCTTTCACTATATGTTGAAACTGCTTAACAAAAGCAGCATAACTATCATTCAAGGAAATGAGAGTTGGACTGTTCAAGTTACAGGACACAAATTTGGAGCTCGATGGACAGAATTTCAAAAAAAATAATTTACTTAACAAAGATAGTTATATACTGTTGCGTCACATCGATGTAGACACCAAAATTTCACCATCATTTTATTTATTTCTATTATTTATTTTTATTTTATTTTCTTTTATTTCTATTTTTGTTCATTTTTGTTAAATTTTATTTATTCTTGTTTCACTTCTATTTCTTGAAGAAAAATTTTTTATTATTAGAAAAACAAAAAAAGAAAAGGAAAATTATCAAAATCAATTTTGTTAAAAAAAAAAAGCTCTTCCACTCGCGCATACTATCCACGCGCGTGTTTTCTTCCCACTTTGCAAATCCAGATGCAAGAACCAACAAAAGGAGTACAAGATGGCAACCCGTTTTTTGGTTTCGGATTTTCTTGTTTTCCAAGCTGGGATCGTACAAGATAACATCATTACCAGCTGTCCAAAGATCCAATGAACCCAAGAACATCCACATATTCCCCTTCCCTTTCAATCTTAACCCTTCCTCTCAGGTTAAGATTTCGGGTTCCATATAAATAGTTAAACACGCAGCCTTTAAGGTTTTGGGGGGAAGAAACGGAAAGAGAGCTGAGGGAGTGGAGAGCAAAAGAGAGGCAAAAGCCAAGAGAGAGAGAGAGAGAGAGTGGGGGCTGAAAAAAGAAGAAATTAGGGTTTTGGGGAGAGGAAAAAAAGGAAAATCGAGGGAAAAAGGGATGAGCTTCGAGAAAGTTGGAGAGAAGAAAAAAAAACTAGAAAGCAAGGAGATTGACAGAGGCCGGGAAGGGGGAGAACGGCTGAAGAACAAGGGAGGGGAAAACTTGGGAGAATCAGAGAAGATTAAAAGAGAAAAGCAGTAAACGTTTCTGAAATCATCAGTCCGTGGAGGAATGTTGCAGTGCAGGAGTTGAGATGTTTCTCGACAAGGTTCTCGCAAAGACCTGCTCTTCCAATCACCTCACGCCTTGCTTTGCCTTTTAAAAGGCCAAAGGTAATGCTTTTCACCCTTTTTTCTGCCCATAGATTATAGGATTCACCTCAGAAGTATTGAAACCTTTGCTGCGATGCCTGTTTCTGTTTTTCTTCCTCCCTGTGCATCCTGTTTGTGAATCTGGTTGGGGTGGAGGATTTCGTGTTGGACTGGGTTTTGGAGGGCAGGAGCTTGTGTTTTCTATAGGGTTTCATCTGGTGAATCTATGAGTTTTGATTGAAGTTTATGGCTGATGTTTGTAACAAGCAAGCCCAGCAGATTGTAGATCATTTTTTCTTCAGAGTTGCATGACCTTTTAATATGTTCTTTGTTGTTTTTTTGTCCGGATTCTCCTCGATTGCATCTGCTAAAGACAGGCCATCATGTTTGGCTTCTGTAAGCAATGAGGGGTTGAGGATTATGTGAGTTTTGGCTGATGAAATAATGGGTCTGGTTTGGGTTTTTGTATGGACATAACTATGTGGGATGAGCTGCAAAGTTCATAGCAGAACTCTGTTGCAGCAGAGCTTCGACCAGGCTGCATTTTTTTGTTGTTGAACTATCATGGCTATAGTTGTTTAGTCTAGAAATGTCCAGTCAAAGTTTTTCTAGAAAAATGGAGTCTTCCTTAAATCTGTTCTTCGAATTTGTGGGTTTCTCGTGAAAGTAGACTGCAAACCATTCGCTGGTTCTTATGCACTATTTTCCCTGGTTTGTTTCTTTCATTTCGTGGGTTCCTTTCGCTTCATGCCTTTCTTTCACTTACTTGTTGAATGCTGAGATTCTTTTGATGGATGTGAGTCATGCCTAGAATGCACGCAACAAGAGTTTACTGGTTTGCATGATCTGCTGCCTGTGGGGAAATCTTCTTTTAAATGGACTTGGAACTTCCAAGCCTTTCCCATTCCAGATTTTCCTTTTCTTTGTATGATATTTTGATGATAAATTTATGGTATTGAATGAGAACTTGGAGCTTAGATCCTTGTTGCTAGCTGTATGTCACGTGAGATTGCAAAAGTCCTTAAAACCTATGTTTTCAGAACCGGACCGGATAGTGACTCGGCCGAGATCAGGGGTCAGGGGTCAATGGATTTGACCGGGGGTCGATAGGGGTCGAATCGGATAACGTCATAAATAAAAATTATTTAAAAATTAAAATATTATATATATAATATCTAATAATATGTTGATATTAATAAAGGTATATTCATATATATTTGATGTTTCAAATATATTTAACAAGAAAATTTAAAGAAATTAGAACAATCAAGTAGCAATTTATATTATTTAATAAATATTAACAAGTTTAGAATTAAAATTATGAATTTAATTGAAAAATAACATCAAATTTTAGGACAATATTTATAAAGTATCAAATATTTGAGGTATATCAATAAGTTTTAACAATTTAGGGGGTCAAAACATAATATTAAATAGTTTGAATTTTTTTTAAAAAAAATTACTGTTGAACCGGAAAAACCGGTTTTTTCCCAGTCAAACCCAGCCAAACCCGGTTTTTGACCGGCTTTGACCGAGTTTTAAATTTCCGGTTTTTTAATATGACTCGGACCGGCCGGTCCGGTCCGAGTTTTAAAACAGAGCTTAAAACATCAGAAGTTGCTGAATATTTCCAGATTTTTACATGCTCTTTGTTCTGACCCTTTTGTGCTTAAATTCAATAGTTTTATGTTGAAGAGTGAGAAAAATATTTGGTGATCTTGTTGTTTTGGTTCAAAGTGGGTTTGGTTGAGATGTTAGTGGTGCATCTGGGATTGCGGCCGAGTACTGCACTTGAGAACTCAGAGTTGTGCCAACCAATGTACATATCAATTATACCTGAAATTTAATTTTCATTGCAAAAAAAAATTGGGTAAGCCCAAATTCGAAATGCAATGATGATTTAGGTCTCAAATTATAATTCAGCTACCGTATCTCAAAAAGAAAAAAAGAAAGAAACTAATTTAGCCACCTACTACTTGACAACAGGCAACATGATTGCCAGATCGACATCCTTGTATTATAATCAACCAAATTTATTGTATCCTAACCACTCAAGAACGTGGAAAACGAGTAAAATTGTGCTAGAATGACGTCAAACATTATTAGAAGGTTTGAATTACGTGTATACTTAACAACCGTCCCAATATTTTTTTATTTTAGTTTATGATTATTTCATGGTGGATTCAAGATTTTGGTCCAGTTAAATAAAATTTAATTAGATGGTTGAAAGTTATTATAAAATAAAAAAGGAAAGGACAAAATAGCAAAAAAATGAAAAACTTTATGTCACCTTCAGGGTATTATTCCTCTAATTTGTATTTCTCAAAAGGGTAAAAATTATTATTTTTTAAATAAATATTTGATTTTATTACTCATACTGAAAAGACGGGATACAAGGAGGGGGCCTAAACCGTACCTCCATGAGTCATTGCACTACTCCTGACGAGCACTAGTCAATCCTACTAGATGGTATACCTAGCCGATCCATAGAGATATCTTGGCGAACCTCTAGGGGTAGCTGCCCCCACGACTCGAAAACTGAATTGGTACCTGAGTTATGCTCTCCATAGCCAAACCAACCGCAGACCTGTTCGCCTCGCGACGACAATGCGTCATGACCCGCACATGATGCCGTAAAGCTAAGAGCTCCTCAAAATCGCGCATAAACCACCAAGGTATCCCGACCTTGGTGTGGAACATTCGAACCAATAGCAAAGAGTCTGACTCCACGTGCACCTCCGCAAAGCTTCGTTGTACGCAAAGCCTCACCCCCTCAAGTACTGCCTTCAGCTCTGCTTGCAAGCTCTTAGCTACATCAAACACCTTCGCAAAAGCAACAATAAAACGCCCTTCTGGGCCCCTTAAAATACCACCCTCTCCTGCTCTTTCCGCCTGATAGCAACCATCAACGTTCAACTTAGGGATCATAAGCTGTGGCCTGCTCCATTTGTGCCAGGAAATCCTACCAGAACGGTCCCTCTTGACCACTAGATCAAGAAGAGAATGCCAAGATAAACCACCAGAGGCAAGATTGGGATACCGTCCACACAAAATTTCTCGTAGCTCCCCGAGTATACGCAAGTGAATGCCAACTGCTGTCACCCGTTTGCCATCGAAAAGCATCGTGTTCCTAGCCCTCCAGAGGTGCCAACACACTAGACAAGGTAGAATCCGATATATTGTCTTCAAAGCAGCCTTTGAGGTGGCCCTAAACCACCATTTAGCCAGCATATGTCGTACCGTAAAAGCTGGACCAGGGCTTCCATCACTCCCTTCAAATGACTGCCAAACCTGTGAAGGGATCTCTCCAATGCAAAAAATATGGTCTAGGGATTCCACCCCTGGCTCCTTACAACACCAACAGCGAGATGGGCCGTGTACCTGAAAGCGGTGGAGAATCTCCATGACTGGAAGTCGGGACCCCAGCAAATGTAACATGAAGAAGGACACCTTCGCTGGAATCAACGGATGCCATATATTTGTGAAAAACATTGACCTAGGTGATGGTTGGCTCACCTCCTGATACGCCAAAGAAACTGTAAACGAGCCAGAGGAGCTCAAGGCCCACATCATGCGATCCAACCGTCGGGACATAGGAGGAGAAATATGTAAGATGTCTGACATAATACCCCGAGGCAACCACTGCTGCAACAGGTGTACGTTCCACCGGCCTTGGTCAAAGACGTGTGCCACAGCGTGTATGGTTTCCACTTTATCGCACACCGGCCCCTGCCCCATCCAATTTTCATGCCAAAAATCCACTTCCCCATTCCCCAAAACCCATGTAATGTGCTATTCCATTTGGTCTTTGATCATCACCATCCTCCGCCATATGTGGGATTGCCCCCTAACTTGTTCAGCTTCACAAGGATGACCTCCCCGTAAATACTTTCCCCGCATAAAACGTGCCCATAAGAACACATTTTGGCGGAACAACCCCCACAATTTCATAGAGAAAGCGTCATAGACTGCCTGTAGTGCCCGTATCCCCACATCACCCTCCTCTACCGGACTACAAATTGAACTCCATTTTATCCAATGAACCCGTAAACCATAATCAGAGCTACCCCATAGGAATCCTCCGAAGATCGTTTCCAAACTTCGACAGAAACCCTTCGTGGGAGTCGTGGTAGCCAAAACATGAACTGGTATAGATGCCAGCACACTCTTGATAAGAGTCAGCTTCCCACCATAAGATAGCAACTTACTATTCCATGCCAGCACCCGCTTTGATACCGACTCCGCAACCCCCGAGAAGTAGATGGACTTGCCCCTTCCGACATAGAGTAGGCAGCCAAGATATTTAATGGGGAAAGACTGCTCTTTGAATCCCGTAATCTTGGCGATGGTATGCTTCCTAACCGCATTGAGCCTTTGATGCAATAGGAAGCAACTCTTCTGGAGGTTCACCTGCTGCCCCGACAAACTGCCATAGGCTTCCACTACGCACAAGACCATCTCTAAGGGCCTCTTCAACCCGCTACTAAAAATCATCACATCATCCGCGTACGCGAGATGAGAAATGTTATGGTAGTGTCTGGGAACCTTGAACGGGACAAACCTCCTCTCTACCAGTAGTGCATTCAGTGACCGGGATAAGACCTCCACCCCCAAGATAAACAAGGCTGGTGATATGGGGTCCCCTTGGCACAGACCCCTGGAAGATGTAAAGAACCCCTTCAATGTCCCATTAATAATCACTAAGAACCACACATTAGACACTAACCGCCACATCATGTCAATCCACCTCTCCCCGAAACCAAACTTACGCATCACTTGCATCAAAAAATTCCAGGACACCCTATTGTAAGCCTTTGCCATATCCAGATTAAGGACCACGTTTCCTTCTCTATTCGCCCTCCGAATATCGGAAACAAGCTCTTGAGCCAACAAAAAATTATCCGAGATTTGCCGCCCCTGAACAAACCCGCTCTGGTTATCCGAAATCAAGAGCGGGAGCACCCTTGCTAATCTCTTCGCCAGTAGCTTAGAGATAATCTTATTCACAAACGTGCAAAGACTAATTGGTCGATATTGCGAGAAATCCTGAGGAGAGCCCACCTTGGGGATGAGGACGATAGAAGTGGCCGTTATACTCCTTGGTAGCTTTGAACCAGCAAAGAAGCTACCCACTACCTCAAACACATCCTTCCCAACAATCTCCCACACGTAGGTGAAAAACCTCCCCGAGAACCCATCAGGCTCAGCAGCACTGTCGGGGTCCAAAGAGCTTTTCACAACCCATTGGCTTTACTGTTGAACAGTAAATTTAACTTAAAGATATGACACCTAAAGGGACTGCAAAATCCTTTAAACATTGAAATCATTACTTCTCTTGGGTTTAGAGTATCCAAGGTTGTGTTTGGATTGAGAGATTTAAATTAAAAAAATTTTGAAATTCTCTCAAATCTTTCTAATTGTTTAAATTATGTAAGAGATATTTGAAATTGCAAAATTACAAATGATTATAGTGTTTAAAATGTATTTTGATAATTAGTGAATTATAAACTCAAATTTTCTTAAATAATTTAAACAACTAGATCGATTTTATTGAATTTCAAATCTTTCATCAAAATTTTCAATCTAAATCAAGCCTGAAAAATTAACATATAGAGATAAAGATTTGCCTCAGCAAATAACTGGTAATACTTTGAATGAAGAAATTGAAAAATTGTAGGCAAAAAGAGAATCTCCAAAGATCAAAAGTAAACAAAAAAGGAAAAACCAGACATAAGGCTTTGACTGATGAATAAGACGGCAACAACCACAATTAGAAAGGATAGCAATCACATGCATACAGACGAAACTGATGAGTTTATTGTCGACTGCCTCGGTTTGCTCCAAAAAAGCTACAACGATAATGATTTCCATGAAAATATCAGACTGATTGGGACTGTGGCTCGCACGATTGACAGTATTTGGATACGTTAATAGATCAGATTGGTAGACTTTTTCACAAAAAAAAAAAAAAAGAAAAAAAATTGTGCAGATATGATTGAGTTGAAGTACAGATTTTGTTTCTCATGTGATGCTTGGAATTTCAGGCTTCTTTGTACAATAACCATTCTTTTTTCAAAATTATGAGGATAGATAGTAGTTTCCATTTACTCCATTAATGATTGGAATGTGTGATCTCTCTCGATAACAGATGAAACGTCTTCTTAATTACAATGTGTTTAGTTGTCAAATAAGCATGTTTTTTTGGTACAATAAGCTTGTTTCCTTGTATATTGTCTCGCACAATCAAACAATTTCCATTGGCAAGTAACCTCTCCCCGTTGATTGATATGTTATGCTTGCAGCCATTGAATCAATAGTCCATGCCTTAAGAGCAAGGAAACAAGAAAGGAAAAATTAGAAGCCTACTAAATTTCCTTGATTTCTGTCTAACTTCTGATGCAATATATACATATGTACATACGTATATACATATATACTTATGTATATGTATGTACACACAAATTTGACATGTGTATGTATGTGCATGTGTGCGGGTGTATAGATATACAATATTGAATCAAAACAATATGGATCATTGAAATAAAAGAACGAATATTCGATTACAAAAAATGAAAGAATATGAAGAACCACATGCCAAATTTTTGTGCCCTTATATTGATTTATTTGAACCAACGTTCTATCAAATTACATTGTATATCCCAGAAAAGAAGAAACAAAAAAGAAAAAGAAGAAAATCAATCACGCGATTCATGCTTGTTATGTCATTACTTGTTTGTCCTCGCTACTTATATAACCAAATAGAGTCACAAGGCCAAATCAATCTGTTTTTATTTATAAAAACAAAAAAGGGAAAAAAGCTAGTAGTATTTTTTTTCCCTGCTAATGTTTTGATACCCAAAAAAAGAACGAAAATAATTTGTTACTAATATACCATAATTAATCAATGAGGGGGTTAATTGCACTATATCCCCTTGAATTTTTAGGTGAGTTACACTTTACTCCCCTTAACTTTTTGAATAGACTCTTTGCTCGTCATTTAATGTTTCTTAACTGTAATACCTCAAAATCTCTGTTATTTTGTATAACTTACAAATACAAATTTATTTTAGCAAAATATTATTGAACTTTATCTTAAATTATAGTATCACTCGTGAAGCATGCTGCTCAAAAAGTCACTTACGTGCTCTCTACTTTATAAAAAATACGAAAGCATTTGAAAAACGTAAGAATATGCAGGAGTTTTGGGAATGGTAATTGAAAACATATAATATACAGGTACACTGTGCTGTTTTACTAACTGTGGCTTGTAGAACTCTTAAGTCGACGATAAGAATGGTATGAAATAATGGAAAATCAATTCCAAAATAAAGACAGGTTAATTGGTTTTGTGTTTAATGCTTAATTGCGTGTAAATTTCAAGTCCATTCGCTATGATGATGAATGATTAGAGCTAGCTAGCAGGTCAAATATCATGTCACTAGACAATATTATAAGGGTTTGTCTAATTGATGTGCTAAGATATATTTCAAGTATCATATCTTTGGAAATATAAGATTAATTAGAAAAAATAAATAAATATAAGGGTGGGTAAGTAAAATTAAATAGAAAAAATATACAAATAAAATAGAAGGTAATAATTGTTAGTATGCATATATACATGATAATTTAGGTGAATGTTATGTGTGTTAAATGCTCTGTAAGCACTGATTAGAAAAACCCATATTATAATGATTAAGTTGAAGAAAGTCCCTTAACCGCGAGTTGCACCTTGAAATTAAGATTAAGAAGAACCGCCAGGAGCAATTATTAGGGTTTATTTTATCAATTCAATGTAGGGACCAATTGAAAATGGCAAGTTCTTGCAAATTTCACGCGATCGAGTCTTGGACTGGCCGCAAAAAGATCCGCATATCCTTTTGGCACTTTGATTTCCGAATCCATATCTTCTGATCACACCTACCCACGGTTGTCCTTTTCAATTGTGTCTACTAATCACCAGGCAATAAGAAAAGGAAGATATACAAGTAGGAAAAAAGTTTTTCACAACTTTGAAAATGACGGAAGATTATTTTTCACTCAATTCTACAAGTATTACATTCTAATCTAAAGCTATACCAAATGGTCCAAATCCCTTTATAAGTAATAGTAGAAATGAGTCGAGTCGAATTTTAGCAATGTATTACACGAGTTAAAATATTTGAGATTAAACTCAAATTAGAACTCATCAAACTTTTAAAAGCTGAGTTTGAGTTCAAACTCAATTATAGTTTACTTTGCTAGAATTCGAACTCGAGTTTGATCAAATTTAATTTAGTTGAGTTCAATCGATCTTAATCATGTTCAATTCAGCTTAAGTAATATATATTAGTATTTTATATATTTTAAACAAGGGACACAATAAAATTTCATACTAAAACATTTTTTTCAAATATATACATATACAGACACACATATATGTATGTATGTATATATGTATATGTATATATATGTGTGTATATATGTATGTAGATACATATACATATCTACATACATATATACACACATATATGTATGTATGTATAGCTCGGAAGCTCCTCACATAATAGGTTCGGTTTGAGCTGATTAAGTATTCAAGCCGCTTGAGCTCGGACAATGCGAACAAGAGTTTTCACTGAACAGGCTAATGAGTAGTCCAATTGAGTTCAACAATTTGCATCCCTATTAACCATTTAATTCCCCTTTGTACTCTTTTCAGCAAAGGCAGTACTAAATTTTTTTGAATTGTTTGGTACTTTTTG